ACCATTTAGCTAATCGTTCCGAAGTTACGCGCAATCAGAGCAAGATAGCCCATATCCGGCTAGGAACCTGGCTGAACACCGAGAATCAAAATCAGGAGATCAGAATCGATTATCCAAGAATTTATTAAAAATTAGCAGAGAACCTAAAAAATTAGTGCAGAGATCTCGCATGCTCTGGATCTATAGCACTTTACTGATCACTCCAATGTAGAAAGCATTTTTGTTCGGGTAGTATTAGTTTAAACTAAGAATCTTTCTCTGTATCCAAACCGTCACCGATCCTATATTGTTCACTCTGGCCTGAAGAACATCCGGCAGTCGCGCAGGAAAGATTTAAGTCGATGACTCCTTAGTTATGTTACGAGTATAAATGTGGCTCCGGGATGGCAGGCAGTAGTGGAAGATGGCAGTAATACTAGCCAACCATACTCGCAACAAAACAGCAGCTAGCGGCAACTCTTTACTGATGGAAAGTCCAAATGAACAGAGCGCATTTTCTGGCAGCATCGCAGTGCTGCTTATATACTCTTAGCATCAGGAACAGAATATCAAATCAGCATTAGAACAACGAAGAAAGATCTAGAGCGTCATCTAACAATGGGGTGTGGCTCGGGTGTGACAATAGAAGATAAGCATACAATGATGAATCATATGCAACTAGCGCATTGATCCTTATTGTCTGATGGTAACAATTAAAGGGCGGCTATTAATAAGTCTAGTTGCTCTGCTTTAAACGTTTCGATGATCATATAATTATGCACCAATATTTTACCTATAACAATTATCTCGTTTGGGCATAACGTGGCCATTTTGAAGGATATACTGTATTTTAACGAATGAGCCATCCCCGAGCCTTGATGTTAAAGGTTCTTTTCGCGCATAAGTACGTCACATCACCTAATTAGTACGTTCATTAAAGTACCTACTTTGATACGGCGAACCAGTGACGCCTTGGGTCTACATTCTGCAACTAGCTCTGACACTATGGTGTATACAGTCTGTACTCGACAGCAGAGCTGGTCCGACAAGTCATCGGATACCACCGATATGACCGATAATTACAGTAGCTCCGCTCGAAAGTCTCTACGGGGTTGCTCATTCTAATCAATACGTATTTAAGAATCGAGCTGTAGTACTCCATTTCAGGTTACGGCCTGAATGTACTCGTATTGTGATGAGTGTACTCTGTAGTGCAATTTGTAATCGTATAGTGTTTTGAACTGCACGCACGTCATAAATTCCAACTAAGATAACGATCCAGAACTTTTGTAACGGAAGATAAAAATTATAATGAACAATATTGGCTGTTCCAAGAAACATCTAATGTGCTCCTTTTTCAGTATACTCCGTACTAGCGCATATCGTGATGCTCAGATTACGGTTGTGTGTATTGTTTTATTGATAGAAGTTTCTGCATCGGCCCCTGACGGATTTTCTGGAATATGTCCAGCGTCCGTAGATTAGTGAGAGCCTCATGGATTAATGCGACTGAAACTTTGCACAGTTAATGTGGAAATAAAGTACAGCACGGCAGAAGAATACACTACGGAGTAGTGGATCTGTGGATGTAATCTCTTGGTAACAGTTATTATTCGACAGCAATCGTAGCGCCTTCCTTTCATTGAACAGTTATTTTAGCGAGGCTCGCACTGCGTCTTCCCGCATTGGTTCTTACAGTATTTATGGCTGGCGTCGCATTGATCTTGATAGTGTGTGGTATTCTCGCAAGTATCGCTCTGGCATTTTGGCGGATTCCTCAAACACCAAGTCCTGCCGGCACCTGTAAGATATTGACCGAACAGTGCAATTATCAAAAAGTGGGAAATCTGTACTTCGTTTACACTAGACTCTGCTTTCGTTAGCCTAGTTCCATAGAATCACATTTTAGTAGAAACCTTACCTTCAGTTTCGCATACCATAATGGACGCTACTAGGAAAACGGTTGTGATTAACCGACCGTGATTCATGGTAATCGTGGAATACTGACAGTTTGAAATCAATTCTGCTTCTCTGAGAAAGAAAGTGGTGAATGCAACAACCCCAGACGATTTTGTGCGGTTTACTGTAAACGAGCCAACAGCTTCAAGTAAGGGACAACGATACTCATGTTATGGTTTGCTGTCTATAATTGTTTATTAAGAATTTTCCCGCAAATAGATTGATTGAAAACAATGGCTTAACCTAGTTGATTCTTAGCGAAGCTACATATGAACTGCACACACACACATAAACAGACAACTGTATTCACCGGTCGAGAAACAAGATTGCTGTTTGCCCGAATGTTGTAGTCAACAGTAAACACAATTACACAAAAACACGTTATTGCCTAACACATTTCAGAGCAGTGGTTTGTTAGGATTGAAAATCTGCAGCATTATCTGCACATGGATGATATACCGTATTATTATTATGGATTTGCATAGTCCAGTCAGTCCAGTAGCCCAATAATACATTTCCTTTGAGCACAATGATTATCGTCATCGGTGATTTTATAGATACATACGCAGCTCATTTTACAGTTACAAAATGAATAAAATTTTGGACGATTTTTTCTGCTTTGGTACAGTGAATGGCGAAGTGTCACGGAGCGTTTTGAAATGTTTTCTGATGCCCAATTAACTGCGACAATGAAGAGCCAAAAGCGTCTTGAGGTGTATTGCGGTTGCAGCAGTTAGTGCGAAGCTTTTCGTTAGGTGCATAAGTGTGCTGTACATATTACGGAATGCGTAAGGTTATCAGTTTCTGTGGTCTGTCTGTAAAGACGAATTTCAAACCTGTCATATCCATACCATGAGAACGTTTCGAAGTAAATTCATTCGTCCAAATACTTCCATTCGAAAACAGCTTTATGCGGCTATTTACAATATCAGTTGGCATACGCGTTACCAGTGTGACAAAATTAACAATGTTACGACGTTGGCACTTCCGGTCTGCATTGCTGTCTGCCGAGGTTAGTATCAGTGTTTTAGCCGTTTAATTCTACACCACAACACAAACAAGAATGATTTTTCTTGGTTCCAACATTCAGTGTAAAGCGAATTGTAACCGAGATGCAAATCAACAATTCCATGAGCAAATCAAGGACAGTTAGAGTTTTCTGCTATTGCTAGAAGATGAGTATCGCAACGCTGACATTTAGCACTCCAGTTAAGGACCAGGAATCATCCACTCGCACTGTGTTCCTCCGCATTTACTCTTGCAGCATATGCTGCTGCCTCCGCAGTTGCTTCCGCCATGGTCGTTTCGTTTACACGTTTCACTCTTCTCACACTTTTTATTCTGCAAGCAGGCGCCCATTCCTGTTCCTGCAAGATATGATTTTTTTAAAAGACTACGCACAACTGTCAACATTCTAATGCAGTACATCACCAAGCTTTTACCACAGACTAAACTTTAATATTGCTATCATACCGCATTCTGTACAGATACCGCAGCAAATAGCTTACCCTTAGTTTCGCATATCACAGTGAACGCTAGTAAGAAGATTGCTAAGGCCAATTGGCGCTTCATATTTGTTGTAGAGAATTAACGGTCGAATTACAGGAATTTGTGTACCAGTCAAAGCAGACATCCGAATCAATATTTATAAGGATTAGTTCGCAGTAAATTAATGACATTAGCGATGATATGTCTCATTGTTTACACATGTTTCACTTGTTTGTGAAGAATTTTTCAGAAAACAGTTTAATTAACGATATGTACTTTAGCGAGCGGAAAGCTCTGTGCGCTAATTCGCTCTCAGTTCAGTTACTCGAAAATAAAGTTAATGCCTCGTCATGCTCGATAGCAGTTAGTAAGCATATTTAACAAGACATTACACGGCCTGCGGCACTGGCTTGTTTGCTAAAGCAGCAGTTTTGCCTTTTCCAATTTATTCAGTTTACCACTTTTAAGTGTTTTTCTGTGAGAAAGACTTTTGAATGAAGTACTCGTAATAATGATCTCTTATGCAAGTACAGTGCATATGAAGAATCGTTTATGTAGGTACGCTGAGCGTTCGAGAAGGGTGCACAAAATAGATTACGAAAATTCTGCGTGACGGTTTTTATGGTTAGAAACGCAATAAAAGTTATGAAGAACAAGCTCTCTCGGCAAAGGGATGCTGCGCGCGCACAAAGAGAGTAATGTTTGCGGCGATATACGGTCGGATAAGTGCATACACGAAGTGGGCCGAATTGTTCTTATTTGAATGTGTTTTCGCATCCCGGATATTTTCACGGCACGAATTCGCGTACCGGTACACTAAAGATACAGTACTTGGATTTTTCTTATATTTCGGTCACTTTACGTATACCGTACGATTTCTGATTTTTTGTCATCGGTCACTCACATCATCACCCCCCATGTGGCGCGCTACATGAATAGCTGCAGATCGCACCACGTGCTTTTTGATTTGTTTTTCAATCAAAACAAAACTAAAAATGTTGAAATACGAAATTTCTGAAATTCGTAAATGTGGAAGAACGGTTTTTTTACATTGCAGCCGGTCTAATTCGTGTTCTTCGTTTGGTTTTCTTGGGTGGTCGCCATTTTTATCATCATTACACGATTTTTTGACACGTTTCACAATGATAATGGTGCGTACAGATCCTTACGCCAAGTGCTTACAAACACCCGAAGAACTATGATTAATGATTAATTGTAAGTTTGTAACTACGACTCTACGAGGACGTCGAGCATGCGGCTAGCTGTGTTCTCGCAATCAAACGAACCGCAGAAGCATTTGATTTTACGCGTGTTTTAATTGTTTACTGCGCTGTTACAATATTTACGTATCAAGTACGCACCAGTATGACTGATGATCATTGAAAAACAGTACTACGGTTTCTGAACTGCCACATTCATTTTGCACTGCAATACGGCATGGTCACCGGACGCTCGACCGTGTACCGCCGCCGGTTACAATACACCACGTATCTGCAGTGTACGACCAACGCAGTAATCGATCGTTAAATGCCCGGATCTTACGGTTGTTTTTCAATAGCCAGTTAAGCTTTTCTTATGCGCTCTTACAAATCTGTCTGCCAAAAATTTCTGACAACAATTTTGTCGAATTTCCTACGTCGCCGGAAATGGCAAAGCCGTTCGCTGCTTTTGCATGGGTTATCCTATTTAGTAAGCATTAAAAGACACTGACCATATAACTGTACTGTAGATAACAAATTATTGTATTGCGTTGCATTGTTCGTATTGCCAACACTGACTGGCATACGTTTATGATACTACTATCAGTACTATGTATTATAGTCCAACTGGCTCGTAGTCCGGCTCAAAAACAGAGATGCTCAGCACAGTGGCCGGTCGCGATTCCGCCATCTGCAGATGTAAACGTTCCTGAAAAGGTAGTACTAGTACTATTTTATCCAATTGGCCTTTTTCCTATTACTTTCAATTTAATTAGTTTAATTCCTAATGCATTGTATTACGTGATTATTGACTACTATGGTTGATTAATTCCGTTGTTGATTACAGATTGCCGGCATCTGGTACATGTACCGCGAGAAATCTCGATTCGGCTCAACTAGTGTATTTAATCAACACGTTCAATGGGACATCATCACGCAGACTGTCGATACGTCAACTAACCAGTCAGCGTGGGCTGTGACTGCCCAATTTGCAATGAACGATGCTGGGGGAAATCGCTCGTGTGAAAATCATTTCTGGACAGGATTGTACACGGTGGACGGGCGTATGAGGGGAACGATGGCCGCAACGGAGGATAATTTAATTATGAGTAAGAATGGAATCAGTAAATCCAAAAGCATAAACATCTGCTATAATGCGAGGCGTGAACGCAGGATACGTTTTTCTTTAATTTTTCGATCCATGCCAAAACGGTTCAGCGTTGCGCAAGTCTATGGACAGATAAGCGAAATGACCGGGTACCAACATACATGTGCCGTTTACATGGACCCAAATGTGTATTTGTAGGGGAGCTATTCGCTTTCGAGCACTACGAAACCCTTTTTGCACTATTTCATGTAAACTGTTAGTGTCTACTCGTACAACCCAATTCTATCACATCCGTTTGTGCTAATCACGTCCTTTTACACAGGAGAAGTTAATCTCAGCATTTTATATCACGACTACAACAAGATGCTGGTAGCGTACGGTTGCATCGGTCCCAACCAAGACGGAAGTTGTACAACCCCACTTGTTATTGTCCAAGTCCGAGCGAATCTTTCCAGCCTGTCGGCCAGCGATATGGACGATCTCGACAGCACTCTGAATACGCTGTTTGCTGCGTACTGTATCACAGCTAACGACATCCCGCAACAGCGGTTTGATAGTCGTTCCCCGTGCCTACTGATTGATTCGCCAGATTGTACTGCCAAAGATATTCAAGGTCTTCGATTGTTAGGTAATCTGAACATCTCGGATCCTAGTACACCGAATTGTCGGCTACCCAACGCCATCGCTAGCGAAGCAGTGTTAGATCCGCAGCAGGTATGTGACAGTGATAAGAAGATAAAAAAAGCTACTCTGTAGTAATCGTAATTACTATTTAGTTGACACTAATCGTTTCACTTTATACATTGCTGCTCTGAATAAAAGTTTTGACTCCGAGGCGGCATTTTTAATTGCGTCCAAAAGGACCACTACACAGTTATTTCACCGGGTTTGGCGCTCTTGGGCTTTGGCTCAAATGAAAATGTTATGCCATAGCTGCACTCCTTTAAGTATCCATGAACAGCCGGTTTCTCTACATGGATAAGAAGTTGTTATACCAATGTGCAGAGATTAAAAGAGATTACACGAAACGGTTTTAAAATATGAATTCTCAAATTAATTTTGCACCCATGGCAAGCGCCTAGTGACCGGGTCGGCGTACCATTGTACATGCGCCCGGTAACTGCCGCGAAGTAATATGAGCAAACGCCAATTGCCGAATGGTTTTTTTAATATAATTCTTATGTATCCGTCCGCCGCAAAGCTAACTCCACGTATGCTCGATATACCAGGTTCTCGTTACTCAACAAAACGAAGATATTGTTGCTTTTTGAACACTCTGTTTTATACTGCAGTTTCGTTTACGTAATAAAAATATTCCATTGCTACAAACGTAGTGCAACCAGTGAAAATGTGATGAAGGATCTTAGAAACAATAACTTCCGTTTCGCAGTGCAGTGTGTACAGGGTGGGCGGGCGCTCGAGCTTGTACTGCCGCCAATAAAAAGACGAACACAGTGCATGAAATGGGCAGCAAGTCACACCAATATGCGCTGTGGCTTGGTGGTTGCGATCAAAGGTGTTTGGTCGTTATTTTTCAACAACTTGTAAGGGATTCTCCGGTAAACACCCGACCAATTCCAAAGAAATTTTTGAATTGTGTACCTTTGCTCTGCTATAGCGTTGCTCTGTCGGATACTACTTTCCGTCGAGTAAATCGTGGGTAAACAATTTAATTCATAAGCGCAGTATTTCACCAAGATATGATGTTCATTACGATTTCTGCCGAACTATGAGTTCGTACGCAAAAGTTTTTACCAGTTGTCGCTACAACATAATATAAACAAAGGTCATATAGAGAACGGTAAAAAATCTGCAGTATAGAGTTGTCGGCACCTGGACAATTCAATGCTTAGCTCAATGCTCAATGCTTAGCGCATGCTCGATCTGTTGATGGATTTTTGCTCTCTAAAAAGTCACAGTTCGGTGTTGCGAATTGCAGCTTACCGGTTCCTGGTCCGGATACACCGCTCACCTTTTAGGTGGCCCGCCTTATAGCTTAAGCATTAAATGGCACAGTATCGGGAGGAGTCCATCGACTTCTCCGAACATTACGTCACAACTTATGTGGATGGAGTACTTCTATGCAAGCCCAGGATCCACCCACGAATTTAGATGCTCATACGGCTATTATATCGGCGAAGTTCGCAGCGATGGGCAACTTAACGGTCGGGTTTTTGAAAAATCACTTGGTGTGCCAGATGCAAGAAGTATGGTGGATATTTGAACGATTAAAATCGGTACTGTCATAACTGTAAAATAAATAACTATTGATTGCAGGAGTTCTCAGTTTAAGTACTGTGTATCAGGACGCCAATATTACAGTGTTTTATGGCTGTTTAATTCCTAATCCGGTGACGGGAATCTGTAGCTCATGGTGGCTGCTGGCGGCAACGCGAACCTCTACATCAGATTTCACATTCCATCCGGTAATTGATGCGTTTCTGAGCAAGTATGGGGCGTGCGGTGACACCAGGACGTTGTTCGCTTCCGGAGTGATTGCCTCAACCTGCACCTCCGGATCGGCGAATGACACGTGCTTGCAGCAGTCTATTCCAGGCCTACAAGAAGGGGTTGTGCGTAACCATTCCTCTACGTCGCCGGCGTCTTATTAAGCATATCGCAAGGGTTGTGCAACGCAGTTCTTCAACACTGAAACGGTCTACTAGCAGTGGTAAACGCAGTAAATAACACACCCTGTGCCAACTGTGCGAGCTGGAAAATTAATACGTTACCGATTGGTTTTGCATTAGCAACTGTTCGCTGGTTTTTCGCCTGATTTTTATACAGTTTTCTTACAATTGGTTTTGTTTTCTTGAATCTAATGGTTTCCCAAAAGCCAGATGTTCAGTGCTACTGAATGACAGAGTACCTAGACATTTACGTAAAAGTCGTCTAAGGTCATAAAGAGGAAGGTGGAAAATTCCTTCCTTTTATATTGTTTCCTTCCTCTTTTTGACCTTGGCTATAAAGTTTGGTTTCGTATCGGGGCTTGTACCGGATACCGTAATTCATAATTTATTCACGCAACGCAGCTTCTGAACAGATAGGAGCACAGATGGAATACGTCGTCGCTTATACAACAGGGAACACAGGCAGAAAGCGCACAGTAGCCTTTTACAACATGATACCTCTTAGTCAGCAAAGTGAAATTGCTGAAATTCATCCGCAGAATTCAGTGAAATTACTGAATGAAAAATGCTTAAAGAATATGTTCCATTACGTAATGGCGGTACTTATGCAGACATCGAAAGGTCCATACCATTCTGACTAAAGTCACTAAACCACAATGCGACAACACTAACATAACATGCATAACAACATTCGGTTTACAAAATCATCAGAATTATAACTAGTTTCTGCTTTCTGGCAGAAATTAAAGCCCTCCGCAGAAGGCGCCTAATTAAAAAGTGTTGATCTACGTGTATAAACGCATGGCAGACATATCTGTACACGCGGTATAACCAAAGAACAAGTTTTTTCAAATGCCACCTTCGCGCGAATCATGTTGGGATTGTTAAATCTTATTAAGGGTGCTATTTACGTTCAATATCTCCTGTATTAGAGCGTGCTGTATGGTTCTCCAGTGAAATGTCTGCAGTCTGGCATCTCGTAGAGCCGGGCGCAGTGGGCACGGTTATGAAAAAAAATGCAATCGGGTCACTTATGGCGGAAAAATAGAAAATATAGTATTTCCGAAAGCCGTTCGCGTGAAGAACCACGAATAAAACACAGAAGGCATCCATGTTACAAGGACGATCAGTGCCATCAAGAAAAACAGCAAAAATTTCCGAGATCGTCTTTGCCGGCGCTTGAGCACAGTTGGTCTGATCTGTAAGCCGGATGGATCAATAACAATCGCAGGTATGATCGCTACATTTTTTTCTGATTGCAGACACGAAGCCACAATCAGCCAGGGCAGCGGCATCGCTGAATAATTCGCAAACTTGAAGTACAGCGGCAGTCGGCGCAATAAAAGCGTCCGGCTATCCTCACAGGAGGCGGCATCGCGGTAGCCGGACAATGCCACGACCACGCCCGGTACGCGCATTACAACGTAAACGGTCGCGCTGGCCACACAAATCATGACAGCGACCCGATGGTTGTGATGTCGCCGGTACGCGATAGGCCACGTGACGGCCCAGATGCGATTCAAAGCGATAAGCACGTGACTGGCCGTTGCTACGACCTGCACCATCCACTCTTGGGTCATTTTCAGGGCGCACAAAGATAGAGTGCCCGCGGGGTTACGGCCAACGGCCTCCAAACCTTTAATCGGTAGGATCAAAATGATGGAGACGGACTGCAGGAACAGCAGCTGTATGATATAAATGTTGAACGGTGTGCGTAATGCCGGATGATAGAGATAATATGCCAACACCAAGAAGGAGAGAATTAAAGCTGTAATGTTTTGAATTAGTAACATAATTGTTCCTGTCACTTGAAATCAGACGGACTGGAGAAACCAGGCGGGAACAATGCTGCCGAACCGTTACCATCTGCAGTATGGTTAACCGGCATTTTCTTAGGATTTTTAAAAAGGGTTTGCATCTGCACCAAGCATTTGAAACGGTTCAGCAGCTGTGCTTCATGATGTAATAATTATTATTGCGCATAATTTTATTGCTCCATCCGGTTGCGTTGCGTTAGCGTGACAGCGTGAAGAATGTTAAACAGTATTGTACGTATACTCCCTCCCTTGGGTCAGTAATGAATAGTTGTACATATTGAAAACCGATGTGGCGCCAGAATTACCTCTGGGAAAATACGGTATTCTGTGGTCACTGAACGTAAACAGTAACCGAGACCAAGAACTACGACAGGCGAACGACGGCTATTTCAGCAGATTGCCAGAATCGGCGTCAACCCCCGCTGGGAATTACAGAGGAGATGGGTGAATTATCATGTACGCACATGAGCAATCATGTGTTAATGCCGCTTCTGATATTCCTGATTATTTGGATTATCATAGTGAGTTTAGCGTTGCATTGCTGAGAATGTGGTTCACCTCGGGAAGAGAACGTATTTTTCCTTGCTGGAAAAAACTGACTGCAAGGCGCTGGATGCCGTATTCTTACCACCCATTGCGCGTGCGTAATTTTCGGTTTTATGTTTCTAACTGACACTTCCTCATGCACGTCGGCAGTGCAACGGAAACGAACAAAATAATCATAAGAAACAGCGATTGACAGGTACATGGTGCTTGACGTTGCACTATTGCGTCTGAGACCGCTAGATCTATCTGTACTGTCAGTAAATGGTTTAACCGTTTTTGAAAGGAGAAATACGAAAATATCAAAACTGAGAACTGCAATCTGCGCTTTTGATAGGTGCACAAATGGCCGCCTCTTGGGCGTGGCAGGGTGTGATGTGGCTTTTCTGTGAAGTTTTTGCGAATATTGAACTTTTCAAACTCGCTTTACCAAATTTAATGAAAGCGGAGTACTTTCTGGGTGGATTTATATTAAAAACGAAGAATGAAGTGTCAAATTCTTGGCATCGTAGTCCAGACCGTTGGACAGCAGACTGTGCAAACCCATTGACTCCCGTTTTGTCACATGTACCTCTTTGACGCTTTTCGACACATTTTGGCTTATTGCGTTTTCCGTTTTAAAGTGCCACTCAGCTTGGCAAACTGAATAGCATCAAGCAGGATGTGCGTCAGGTGGACATTATTCCGGGGCACAAGTGACCGATTTTCTTCTTTGATTCTTAGAACCAGTTGCGTGTTAATTTCTTAATCACTGTTATTTTTAAGTCAGCATCCCGGCCTTTCTTCCTTCCTGTTATTAGCATTATGTAGCTGCCATAAAAGAAAGGAAACGATTTCTTGTTTTGATCAGTACGTGACTGTAACGAATGGATGGATTAATCGGTACTGAGAACAGCCTGGTTGTTATAGACGCAAGCAACACTTCATGATTAACGTTTCCTCCATCCTGAGAATCTGGTCCAGTTGAAAACCGACAGCGAAACTGATAAACCCAAGTTATCCAACAAGTTTCATTTTCCTATAAACTGTAGCCACAAGGCCTTCACAAACATGAATCTTGCGAAGAAACCAATTCTTTCAACCCCCAAAAAAATAGGTATACCGGAATTTGCAGCCATATTTTGCAACATAGCAGTGAGATTACACAGCAGCCGCGCTGATTGGTGGGGCCATCATGGCCATGCACCTTACTTCACTGCATTGATGAATGACACTGTAATTGCAATATTTTTGGTTGCATCAATTTTGAGAAAACACGAACTCTGACGAAAGGTCCGGGGCCAAAAGTTGTCTCCCGTAAAGTTTGTCCACTTAACTGTCTGCGCATTTTCAGTAAGGTTTGAAGCGTCAGAACATGCCAATCCGCACGCAAAATCTGAACGGTATTACATACAGGCTGATACAGCGCAGTACAGACTACTTGCCTACATCGCAGACAAATGCCTCATAGTGGCTCCAGTAAGCGTCCCAGCCATTTTTGCAAGAGATATTATATGATGATTTGCGTCTCTTAAAACTAAGCTATTCGACTTTATCTCGGCGTAGTTCTCGGGTTTTGGTATCGCCCAGGTGGCGTTTTAAATTCTTACCATAACCAGTTTCAAGGTACAAAAAACATGTCGAAATAATATATGACAACAGATTAGTATATTATATGACAAATACCTATCTTGCTAGTTTCCTCCGACAGCGACTGTGTTTGAGCGAAATGTATAGCTCTCTGGCAGAACATTTGGACTTTTTAGCATTCTTCCACCGGAAGCAGGGATCCTGGCAATAAGGAAGAACACAATCGGATCGCTTATGGCAGAAAATGAAAAGATAATATTAACTATCGTACTCCCAAGAACCGTTCGTGTAAAGAACCACGAGTAAAACATGGAAGGCGTCCAGGTTACCAGGACGAATAATGCCATCAGAAAAAACAGCAAAAAGTTCCTTGATCGTCTAGAGTTTGCGCTTGCCCGTGATACAGCATGCCCAGCATCGTTTGCAGGAGTGACAGTATTCTTCGAGCGCTGCTTTTTCCACAGAACATACGGACATGCAGCAATAATCAGCCAGGGCAGCGTTACTGCCGAATAATTGGTAAACTTCATGTATAACGGCAGAAGGCGCCATAAGACAATCCGCGTATCTTCACAGAAGCTGGAATCGCGGTAGAAGGACAGCGCCAGAATTACACCCGGCATGCGCACCACCGTTATAACCACAGCGCTTGTAATACCGATTATGACAGCGAGGTTACGGTTGTGGTGTCGGCGATAGGACATCGGCCAGGTAACGGCCCAAATGCGATTCAGGGCGATGAGCACGTGGCCGGCCGTTGCCACGATCTGCACGACCCAATCTTGGGTCATTTTCAGCGCACATAAAGCAAATGTCCCAGCGGGATGGCGACCAGCAGCCGCTAGGCTTTTACTTGGCAGAAACAAAATAATGGAGATTGATTGAAGAAACATCAGTTGTATGATGTAGATGTTGAATGCCGTGCGTAATGCCGGATGATACAGGTAGTATCCCAACACCAAGACGGATAGAATTAAAGCGATACTGTTTTGGATTAGTAAGATAATGGCTCCTGTCCCTTGAAAATCAGAATGACTGGAGTAAATAGCTGGGGACAATGTAGCGGAACCGTTAACACCTAGGGTATGGTTTGCAACCATTTTGCCTGCCAATGGTCTCTTCGCGGCGCACGCTAATTAAAATTTTCAACTGCAAAATACCCAGTTACTGTTATACCTGAAGTGGTTTCCTGGTTCCGCTGTTTTCTGTTCACTGCACAACTTTTTCTTCTATCAAATAGTGTTCTGTGTATCACAACTGAACGATTCAACCAAGGAAAAATCTAGTGCATTCTTGCAATTTCGCTCGTACATTCC